TTACAGGAGAGGTAAAAATTCATACATTAATATCCTATATTTACAATAACTAATTTTCCTTTTTTTAATATTTAAGATTTGACCAATTTGAGAAATTACAACTGCCAAGATCATCAAAGCAGTCCAATGCCAGTTCTCCTGCAAAACAAAGAAAAATCGAAAAATCGTTGTCAAAATCAAAGGGAAAAAAGCCAATGCATTATACTGATGATGAATTGGAAGAATCAACACAAAACAATTCTAAGGACAATGATAATTCGATAACAGAAGAGGCTAATGTAAAAGGAGCCAGGGTATGTTTAAATTTATGTCTAAATAATTTAAATTTTTAGCTGATTTTTATCCTGCTTTTCGTATTTAGGCTAAAATGAAGGCAGTTTTAAAAACCGTCAGCTCAAAGGATGATTTGAACTATGATGAACCTTTCAATAGTAAGAAAAATGCCACATTATGTCGTAGTATGATTCTGAAATTACGAAAGTCCTTGGCTCTAAATTTTTGGCCTTCTGTTGATCAACTTACGAACTGGCTGAAAACCTTCATAAGTCATGTCGGACAGCTCGAAGAATTAAGAAAAGCAGAAAGGGACTTTTGGAGCTGCGACGAACTTATAATAATAATCGAGTACATAAAGTAAGCAAATAGCATATATTCTGAATTTCAGTCTATTTGAATCAATAATTTAATATCATTTATTATTTATTAGAAAACAGCTTAGTGAGTAAAGGCGGCAAAGTATTTGTTTAAAGAAAACGACTAACAAATTGCGAAATACGAAAGGCGATCTTTGCTCTGAATTCTCAGCGATCGCCTATATCATTCACCAGAAATCAGGGAAACGGATGAAGAAAATCAGCAAAGATCTGTTATTGCTATATATGATTATTCTTAGCGATCGGCCGAGGTTTATTATTTTCTTTATCTAATTTAGCATATTTAGTATATTCCACTAATAATTTTCTTCTTTTAGCTGAAAAATTTACTGAGAAAGGTACTCGATTCTTATGTTGCTGCAATATCATTATCTCAAATTCAACGAAAAAGAAAATACAATGATGATGTGCAGCATTATGACCGGCCACATCCCCATAATGCTTTAAAGTGGTCATATAAAGGACAACCTGATGCGGTCTATAATACTGAGGTCGAAGCAGGAGGTGCAACTACAGAAGAATATGTAACAGAAACCGATGAATATATTGAAGTCAAAAGGGGAGTTTCGTCCGCTGCTAAAGAAAGTGAAAATGATCCCGTAATGGATGATGGCGAATGATGAATTTTTGGACGATTTGGGGTGATTTGGGTCAATTTTTTATTATTATTTTTTACATTTTTTTCGGGCGATTTGGGGTGAGAATGGGTCGATTTTGATAATTATCTTTACGTTTTTTTTGGGTGATTTGGGTCGATTTTTTATTATTATCTTTACATTTTTTTGGGCGATTTGTGTCGATTTTAATAATTATCTTTATGTTTTTTTTGGGTGATTTGGGTTGATTTTTTATTATTATCTTTACGTTTTTTTGGGCAATTTGGATCGATTTTAATAATTATCTTTACGTTTTTTTTGGGTGATTTAGGTCAATTTTTTATTATTATCTTTACGTTTTTTTTTGGCGATTTGGGTCGATTTTAATAATTATCTTTACGTTTTTTGGGTGATTTAGGTCGATTTTAATAATTATCTTTACGTTTTTTTCGGGTGATTTGGGGTGGGAATAGGTCGATTTTAATAATTATTTTTTACATTTTTTTCAGGCGATTTGGGGTGGAAATGAGTTGATTTTGATAATTATCTTTACATTTTTTTGGGTGATTTGAGTTGATTTTAATAATTATTTTTTATGTTTTTTTCGGGCGATTTGGGGTGGAAATGGGTCGATTTTGATAATTATCTTTACATTTTTTTGGGTGATTAGGTCGATTTTAATAATTATCTTTACGTTTTTTTCGGGTGATTTGGGTGGGAACATGTCGATTTTTTATTATTATCTTTACGTTTTTTTTCGGGCGATTTGGGTTGATTTTAATAATTATCTTTACGTTTTTTTTCAGGTGATTTGGGTGGAAACAGGTCGATTTTTTATTATTATCTTTACATTTTTTTTCGGACGATTTGGGTTGATTTTAATAATTATCTTTATGTTTTTTTCGGGTGATTTGGGTGGGAATGGGTCGATTTTAATAATTATTTTTATGTTTTTTTTGGGCGATTTGGTGGAAACGGGTTAATTTTAATAATTATCTACATTTTTTGGGTGATTTTGGGTTGATTTTTCTATATTTTACATTTTTTGGGCGATTTCAGAAGGAATGGATCATATTTTTATCATATATTATTTATTTATCTATATTTAGGATGATTTAAGGGTAGAGGGCATGTCGATCATTTCTTATATATATTAGGTGGCAAATTTTGCCGATCATTTATTATGACCCAAAAACTCGGTTATATATCAACCTCATAAATAAGGCCACACGCTAGCTATAATAAGCAAGTATATTACAATACTTTTTCTCACCTTTTTTTTTTAGCTTTTCTTATTGTTCAAAATGTAATGAACACTTTATTATTCAAAATGTAAATGTAATAGAAATTTACAATGTCACGTTCCTGGTATCAATTTCTAATACAAAAAAATCCTTCTAACTATAAAAATTATCAAAGAATAAATAAAAGTTGGTTTGTTATCGACTTTTCTTCCGAGTTTGAGGTATTATCACTTCATAGAAAGTTGTTTGAATTTTCAATAAAAAAAAACTTTCATTATGATCTTGAAAAAGCTCAAATACAAATCACAAATGCTGGCTATATACATTTACAAAATAATGCTTTTGACGAAAGCTCGTGGATTCCATTATTACCAGATTATACCGTATATACATCTTTGGAAGGAAAATTTTTTAAATTTTTTATCAAGAGAGAGGAAAATTCTTTATACTTTGTTTGGCAAGAATTCAGAAAGGATTTTACATTTACTAGTTGTAATGCTGAAGGTCAAGAAAAACTAGGATTTCACCTAATGATAAAACACTATAATTTAAAAAACACTTCGCTTACTTCAATTTTAGGACTTAATGAATCCACTATTATAGAAATTTTACAAAGAACAGTTCACAAAGTTTTTCCTATTCATTTTTCTCATCAAAATCAGACTAAAAAGAAATAAACTTTGATCCGTAATCTTAAACGAAAAAGTGAGGAACTTGAGAAAATTTATGATAATGAAGAAAACTCTATTTTTTGTAGAATAAGCTTGGAAGTAAATGGAAAAAACATTACTCCGGAATCTACACAGGCTCTTATGGTAATGCATGAAGAAAAGAAAGCAGTATTGTATAATGCTAACTGTAATATCAAATAGTTAAAAGATAAAGTTATACAGCTTCAAAACGAAAGATCTAATTTGGATAATAAAACTGATCTAAATCAAAAATCCGAGAAGATAAAAAAGGCAGTATATGATATTTTAGATGAAAAAAATTTGGGATCTACAATCTTAATTAGCATAGAACAATATCTTTCTCTTGTACTCTTCCATCCTTGTAGTCATTGCTATAATACCAATTTTCATAGTAAATCTTGTCATGTATCTTATACCGGTTTTAATATTACAATTGATATAGATTGTTAACTATGTGATACAATCGATTCATATTCTAATCAATCCAAAGGAATTAACTTTTCACACCTTGTTGTAGCAGCGGCTTTAGCAAATGGTAATAATCATCACGCGATATAAACTGCATTAGCAGTTATTGGTATTACTACTCAAAGTTGTAGATGGTCATATCATCAATATCAGTCTCAAATGTTTCCTACAATTATATCAAGAGCTGTGGATTCTGCTAAACAAGCATTAAATGCTGCTATATCTTATGCTAATACAAAACAAAAAAAATCTTTAATCGTTGGATTTGATTGCTCTTGGTCTCATTCTCGCAATGCAGGTCAAGCTAGCGGAGAATTTATTTATCTGGATGATCTCGAAGGTAAATTTGAATGTAATTTGATTATTTATAGAATTAAATCTAATTTAATTTTATTTATATATATTATAAGGATATGGACATAAAGCGGTTGTTGCCTTTTATGTAGTAGAAAAATCTCATATTATTACCAAAAAAGGAAAAGTTGGAGCTTCCGCTGATGAAAAAATTATAGTACAAAAAGGAAATTTCGATACTAGTTCCCATCAAATGAAGCATGCCATTTTAATTGCGCTTTTAGAAAAGATTACCCCAATATTAGAAGAATCCGATCTTTTGCTTGAAGTTTGTGTTGATGGAGATTTAGATTCTAATAAAACCTTGGCAAACGTTCCTGTTGTATCAGAAATTTACGCAGATCTCAAACATGCAAGCAAAAATATTCGAAAAAATTTATGTATGTTTTAATTTATATATTAATTTTAATTATTTTACTTATTTTTTAATTATTTTATAATTAATAGTAAAAAAACAATATACTCGTTATCACAAGTTTGAGCAATATATAATGAGATATTTTAATGGATGTGTTTTTGCTGCTGGTTTAAAAAAAAAGAATAATAAATTAGATGTACCAACAAATGAAGAACTTCGTTATATTCAAGTAGAAGGTTTAATCCAACATTTGCTCAATAACCATAATCTTTGTTGGAAAGAAGTTTGTTGGCATAAAGAAAATGAAGAGTTACAATTACAATCTCCAACATTACAATCTTTTACAAAAACAGAAATTAAAGGGTTTCGGCAAATGCTTTTAACGATTTTTAAACTTCCTATTCAACAAAGTCTTGTTACTCAATATCGAACAACTTACAATGAAGCTTTTAATCAAAAAATATTACGATTTCTTGATAAACGAATTGATTTTTGGGCATCTTATAAAGCACGGTATGCTTTAATTATTATAGATAATAATGAGGGTCTTAATTGTATGATGAGGACTGTACGCGAAGCTGCTCAATCACATGATTTCAGTTTATATGATCAGAGCAATATAATTAAATTTACTGGAGAACGTCAAAGTCAATTAGATTGTAACCGGAATAATATAGCCAAACGTAACCAAGAACGAGCTGTAAGTTACGCGAATAAATGTCAAGAGTTACAAGGATTTGACTTTAGTCAGGTTAATTTTTGATTTTTTTTTCTTTATTTATTATATATGCTATAGTGTAACGATGATGATTTAAAATCTAATATTTATAATAGGAGTTAATTCCATATAAGTATAAGGCAGAGAAAAGAATTCGAGCTAATATGTTTTATCCTTTCTTTGCAAAATTAATTAAAGATTTTGATGTAATTATTAAGTGCCAAGCTTGTTTGACATTCCGTAAGAAAACTGTGACTGGTTTATGTTCTTTGTGTTCTTTTTATGTCTTAGCAGGTTGGTGGGAATGCTTGTTGAACAAAAATTATATTCCTAGTGGTGAGAAACATATCTTAGATTCAAAAGAATTAATAATATTAGTTGCAAAACAAATATTTGGGTATAATCAATTGCGAGAAGAACAACTTGAAGCTATAGAGACTTATCTAGATAGCAAAGATACATTAGTATCAATTAAAATTGGAGGAGGAAATCCTTTTGTTATGTAATTTGTGCATTAGTTTTTGAGGGAATAATGATAGTTATTAATCCATTGAAGGCTTTAATGAAAGACCAAAAAGCAAGTAACAGTTAATAGTTACAATTTTTTGAAACTATGACTTATATTTTATTATTAATTTTAAAATAGCGTGAGTTAGTATGCCTAGGCATACTTTGTACTTCGATTTATGCAAACTCAATACAAGGCAAAAGTGAACAAGCTAAAATATTTGAAGAAATCGCTCTTGGATTTACTAAAGTGTTATTTATCACCCCTGAAAAACTTTGTTTAAATAGAGAATTTCAACATTTTATCAATAATATATATAATAAAGCAAAAGTTTAGTTCATAATTGATGAAGCTCATTGTATCTTAGATTATAGTAATTTTAGGTAAGTATTCATTAAAAATATATTGCTTATATTTGTGAAGTAATAATTGGATCTAATGATTGTTATTTTTATTATTATTATTATTATTATTAATAGAGAATCATGGAAAAATTTAGGATTATTAAAAAAAAATTGGCCTATGGTTCCTATTATGCTCTTAACAGCTACTTGTATATATCAAGATGTTCAAGATATTCGCATTTCTCTCAAAATATCAGTAGAAAATTTTGCTATAATTCGAGGTACTTCTTTTGAACGCAAAGAGATAGCTATAGAAATTTTCAAAAGAAAGATAATTGTGAAATCTTTTTGAATGAACTTATAAATCTAATTAAGAAGTACGAAAATGGAAGGGCTATTATTTACTGTGCAATACAATCGGGTTGTGATAATCTTTTTGCAATATTACAACCACTTTTACCAGATAAAAATTTAGCTGTATATCATGGAGGATTAGGAGATGAACAACGTGAAAGCATTATGTCACATTGGAAAGATCATAAAATCAAAATAATGATTGGAACAAATGCATTTGGTATGGGTATTAATTCTTCTGATGTTTATCTAGTAATACATTGTATGGAGCCGTTTATGACTAAATAATATAATTATATTATTTAGTCATAAACGGCTTAGAATAGGTTATTTAGTAATAAAATA